TTTTCATCAGCCCCTGGACATTTGGAGAATGAAGTGAGCTAACGCTGCATTGGGGCACGTGCCTGGCACAGGGCAGATACACAAACACACCAGTCTCCAAGATGCTAGAAGGTGGTGTTTGAGGTCAGGACAGTTTTGGAGGCTCAGCCAGAAAAGGGGAGAGGTACATGCTTCAATCCTTGGGGGCCAGGGGCGTTCCCTGGAGATTCAGAGGAGGACACGGAAGTGGAGAGTCTGGAGCTCTTACCTGGTTCTTTGGGCTTGACCCAGTGAAGCTGCTGCTGCTCAGAACCAAGACTCTGCTGTGTTCCTGACTTGGTTGTCATGGAAACAGCAAGTGCTCATCAGCTTGGGAGGCTGACTGGTCCCCAGCTCTCACAGATGCCCCAGGCCCAAAGCCTGTGATCCAGGCCTATGGCGGGTTCTTGGCACCAGCCTCACTCCTGAGGATTGCTCTGTCTTCTGCCCACAACCCCTTCTTGGAAATCTCCAGGCCCCCTCAGAGCCTGGTGCATTCTCTGGAAGCTGTGCTTGGTGCCGCAGGTGGCTCCTACATTGTAACAAAAGGCCACCTTGCAATGGCCCCATGCCTGCAGACACTTCACTTCCTGCTAGGTGTGGGCCCTGGCTACCTAGTGAGACCCTTTTTCAAAAGCACACCAAAACCTAGCACACAGGTGCTTGGCAGTGACTAAGTGGATGGGAATGGAGGTTAGACCTGGGGCAGGGGTGCACGTGGGGATGAAGCTGTGGACCTGTTATATATACTTCAGCCTCGGGATCCCAAAGAGACCAGCGACTGCCCGACACTTCCAAAACTGCAAAAGCAAGGTTTATTGAACAAAAGTACAAACCACAGTAGGGACCTTAACACAGAGACTGGCACCCCAGCTCTATGAGAAGGCCCAGTCCATTGTTTGGGCTGGCCTTTTATAGGGGGCCCACCACAGCCTTACGTCATGGTGGGGTGAATGTATGGGGCCGTAGGTGATTGGTTGTTTGTCAGGCTATTTTGACTGTTTGTGGTTGGGAGGCAGTTTTGACCGTTTGTGGCAGTTGGTCTCTGGATATTCCGGGAACTACTCGCTCTTACTGGAAATATTCAACTGGGGTGTTTAATAAAATGGAGGTTGGTTTTAAAATGGAGTTGCCACAGCTCTTCAGACCAAGGAGATGAGGCCACAGAGCAGGCAGGGGATGGGGGACAGCATCATGTTAAAAGGCAGCCCATGGAAAGATCTGGAAAACTCAGACTGCATTGTGTCCACAACTCCCTCCCTCCCTCAACAAACATTTGATGTTCCAGACTCCAGCTGATCCCCAGGGTACATAATGCACAATGTTCTTGCCATATGGTGTGTAGTCTAATGTAGAGGACAGACTCCAAACCCAGAGCCACAGACACTGTAGGTGACACTATAGGATGCTGTGGGAGGGGCCAGGTCACAGCACCCACACAGAGCATTTGGAGAAGACTCCTGAGAGGAAGTGATGTCAGCCGAGGCCTGCTGAAGAGGGCAGATTGGGGAACCTCACAGGGCTGGGTCCCAGGAGCATTCTAGGCAGAAGAAACCACATGTGTCTTCCAGCCACATCCCCAGGCCCAGGGCCCACCTGGCTTGTGTTTTCCATCCCGCCTCTCACCAACTCTGCTTTCACTTGGCCCTCGGAGCCGGTGACATTCTTGAGACTCATGTCACCCCCTTCTCTCTGACCCCATCTCTCCTTCCTTTTCTCCCACTAATGACAGTGTAAATGTTGGGGTGCCCCAGGAGGGTGGGCCCCCAGCCTGTGCTCCACTGCTGCCCTCTCTAGCACCCCTAGTTCTGTCTCCTGCCACAGCCTCTGCCAGGGACCAGTGCTCTCCTCTGCCATATGCATCTCAGGGCTGCTGGGCACAGGCCTGACCTCCTTCCGTGTCCATGACCTCTGCAGAGCGTGCCTGCTCACCTTGCTCCAAGAAGGACTTCAACCATCCCTTCTTGTTGACATCACTCAATGACCCAGAGGGACACCCCACTTTTCCATGTCCTTGTCAGCTCCTGTGAGCCTCTGCATAAAAGCCCAGTCCTGGGGCTGGAGAGACGGCTCAGCAGTTAAGGGCACTGACTGCTCTTGTAGAGGACCTGGGTTTGGTTCCCAACTCCCACATGGCAGTTAACAACCTTCTGTCACTCCAGTTCCAGGGGATCTGATGCCCATTTCTGGCCTCCATGGGCATCGCACACACATTGTACACTTACATATACACATGCATGACACTTATACACGTAAAATAAAATTTAAATTTTTTTTTGGTCTTTTTGAGAGGGTATCTCCCTGTAGCTCCAGCTGGCCTGGAATATAGACCAGGCTGGCCTTGAACTCACAGAGCTCTGCCTGCCTCTGCCTCCCAAGTGCTGGGACTAAAGGCGTGTGTCACCATGCCTGGCAATTTAAGTCATTATTTTAAAGTCACTGAACTGCTGCGCCATCTCTCCAACCCCCAGCACTGACTGCTCTTCCAGAGAACCTAGGTTCAAGTCCCACCACCCACACAGCAGCTAACAGCCATCTGTAACTCCAGGTCCAGGGGATCCTTTGCCCTCTTCTTGCCTCCATAGGCATTGCATGGCACAAGTGCACTTACACACATCCAGGTAAAACACTCATACACATAAAATAAAAATAGATAAGTCAGGGCACTGGAGAGATGGCTCAGTGATTAAGAGCACTGGGTACGGGGGGCAGTGGATCTAGGTTCAAATCCCAGCACCCACATGGCAGCTAACAACCGTCCGCAACTCCAGTTCTAAGGGATCCAATGCTCTTTTCAGTTTTCCAAGGGCATTACGTGACACGGGTGCACTCACACCCATGCAGGCAATACACTCGTACACATTAAGTGAAATAAAATAAAATAAAATAAAATAAAATAAAATAAAATAAAATGAAAAGTCAGAAAAAAAATCATGCCCTGTTCTGCAAGTGTCCACTAATGAGACCATCCTGTGTTTTATCCATCTCTTTATCTGGGAAATGGTTGCTTATGTTTATGTATTGATTTTTTGTTGTTTCTTACTTGTTTTCATAATCTGATTTTTTTTGGGGGGGTGGCTTTTTTTCTATTTAGTTTTTGTCTTTGAGATAAGGTCTCATGTAACCCAAGCTGGCCTTAAATTGACTGTGTAGCTGAGGATGACCTTGGATTTCTGATCCTCCTGCATGTACTTCCTAGGTGCTTGGATTACAGGTGTGCATCACCACTCCTGGTTTATGTGGTGCTAGGGATCAACTCCAGGACTTCAAACATGACAGACAAGCACTCTACTGACTGAACTATATCCCCACCCCACTCTGACCCTGCTTTTTTTTTTGAGACAGGATCTCATGTAGCCCAGGCTAGCTTCAAACTTGATATGTAACCAGAGTTAGCCATAAACTCCTTGATCCTCCTGCCTCCACCTCCCAAGCACTGGATTACAGGTGTGTGCCACCATGCCTGGCCGTTAGCACTTCTTGAAATTGAAATTCAGACACCTCAGAATTAAATAAAAACTCCGTGTAGCTGTGTGACTCTTAACAGAGCCTTGGTTCACATACTTTGCCTGGAGCCACAAAGCATTGGCTGCCGACTCTTTCCAGTGATGGTTGGAGGGGTAACACTGGGTAGCAAGAGAGATTGTAATCCTACATAAAGATGCAGTTCACATAAACAAAGGCATGCTGGGACTGGTTCTCCCTGCCAACTTTGTGGACAACACATACTTCACTCCTGGGAGATCAGAGTGAATCCAACCATCGTGGATAACATAGCATGTCTGGGGAAGCACTGTCACCTCCCCAGGGATTTGACCTGCTTTTTCATAGTTTGTTTTAGCTGCTTTGCAATGTAGGCTGAAAAGAAATAACTGTCATTGTAGCCTGGGGGTCGGGGCTGGGGAGACGGCTCGGTGAGGTAAAGTGCCTACCGAGCAAGCGCCAGGGCATGAGTTCAGATCCCTGGCATCCACATAAAGACAGGAGTAGTCGACACATCTGTAACTGTGGCACTGGGTGGAGGCCAGGGTGCTGAGACAGACAGACCACTGAGTTCACTGACCAGTGAGCTCTGTGTTCAGTGAGAGAATCTGTACTGGGTAGCTTTGGGTGTCAACTTGACACACCTGGGTAGAGGGAGCCTCAACTAGGGAATTGCCTCCATTGGACTGGCCTGCCATGTCTGTGCAGCATTTTCTTGATTGTTAAGTGATATGGGAGGGCTCAGCCCACTGTGGGTGGTGCCACCCCTGAGCAGGTTGTCCTGTGTTGCATAAGAAAGCAGGCTGAGCAGGGACCAGGGAGCAAGCCAGTACACAGCATTCCTCCGTGGCCTGTGCTCCAGCTCCTTCCTCCAGGTTCCTGCCCTGAGTTCCTTCCTTGGGCTCCCTGATGAACTGTGACCTGGGAGATGTAAGCCAAATAAACCCTTTCCTCCCCAAGCTGGTATTGGTCAGAGTATTTTGTCACAGCAATTGAAGGCAAACTAGAACACTGTCTCAGAAGGTAAAGTGGAAGATGCCCGACGTCAACCTCTGGCCTACACACACACACACACACACACACACACACACACACAATTCTAGTGTACAGTGACAACGAACCTGACTAAAGGAAGACTGGAAACAAAATAAGGAAAATAACTCATAACATGAAAGGAAAACGAAGCAGGAACACGTGGTTGTAGGCGCTCAGAAGTTTTAAACAGGACACTGACATTTCAGGAATGTTTGTCTAGTGTCCCGTGGGGCCAGCTGTGTTACAAACTGTGTTCTTGTGTTCTGGGTACTGGGACAAAATCGGGGGTAAGTTAACACAAGCTCCTCCCCATTCTGGGGAGACCCATGTAGCTCCCCATCCTGGGGTACCGTTCTTGAGATGCAGGGCCTCACAAGTAGTTGGTGGAAATTTAACTAAAGAGGAAAATTAATACTATTTATATATGACCATGATTTTCATGAAAGTCACTTTTTGGATTTTAGGGAGAAGAAAAGGATTTCCCCGACAGCGCTAGAGATCCTCATTCAGGTAAGTGATCTAGTGTAAAGGTTTGGGGTTTCTGGGATAGCCGGATGGTTAAAGTTAATTGGTGGGAAAATGTTAATCAGTGACTGTTTATCATTAGGTTTAGTGTGTGTGTGTGTGTGTGTGTGTGTGTGTGTGTGTGTGTGTGTGGCTTTGTAGCTATTTGACAATCAGCAGTTACTTTTCATCCGTGTTGATTATAACTCTGCGTGCGTGTGCGGGTGTGTGTGTGCGTGCGCGCAGGAGTCACTCCTCAGGAACCATTCACCTTGGTTTTGAAGATGGTCTCTCTGTGGGACCCAGAATTCTCTGAGTAAGCTAGGCTGACTCTCAGAGCAGTGAGCTCCAAGGATTCCCTTCTCCCTGCCTCCCCAGTGCTGGGACCACAGGCGCACTACCACACCCAGCTTTCTTATGTGCGTTCTTGGATGCTCCTGCTCATGCAGTAAGTGCTTTTTGCACTATCCCCCAGCCCTGACTAAATTTTTGAAGGCAATGTTTATCTAGATAACCGAGGCATAGAACTTGCTGGGTGAGCATCATCTTTACTGCATCTTCTGTATAGAGTAAGGAGCTTTGTGGAACTCGGCGTCAGTGCGCACACCTGGGCCCCCCAACCCCTTCATGGGCATGTCCTGATCTCTTTGAGCGCCAGAACGGCTCACTTCGTGAAGCTCACTCACTGGCTTACAAATGCTGACGGCGAATTCTTGGCCAAGCTGTTCTTCACATGAGCTCTTCTGCAGAGCACAGGTTACACAGGACGAGGGAAAGGGATTATGGGAGGGGAAAGGCTAGCAGGAACTTTTACTCTCTGCATGCAGAACAGAGCCGCTTTCCGTCCTACATGGCATGGCACACAAGGTGTGTCTTACAGAATTTCATTCACATCTTCACCACCTCCCACTGCAGTACTCGGAATGGTGCCCAGGGCCTTGTGCATGTTAGGGAAACACCCTCGCACTGAACTACATCCCCAGTCCTCATGAAAATGTTCAGAGCCTTTGCCCCAAGCTGGCCCTCCTTTGTGAAGGGTAGACAGGCAGCTTTAGAACTGAACCATCATCAGGACCCAGCACACCCTCCTGTGTTCCGAGAGGCAGAGCTCTGTCAGAGAGCGGTGGCCCCACACCTGAGGCAGCTCAAGACAACAAAGAAGGTCCACAAGCCACAGCTGTGACCCTTCCCTCTCCTCCCCCAGAATGTAGGAAGCCCAAGGTTAGCTCATGCCCTATTCCTAATTCCTTCTCTGTTTTAAGTGCATTTAGCCGAAAAAATATAAAAGTTTAGCTTTTTAAAACTCCTTTTATGGTGCTGAAGAGATGGCTCAGCGGTTAAAAGCACTGACTGCTCTTGCAGAGGACTCAGGTTCGATTCCCAGCACCCACATGGTGGCTAAGAACAGTCCTTAACTCCAGTTCCAGGGGACTCCTAAGCCCTCTTCTGACCTCCACGACATTGCATGACACAGGTGCACTCACATACATATAAGCAATACACTCATACACATAAAATTAAAAAAACAAACAACTTTTATTTGCTGTGCTAGGGCTAGAGCTAGGCAGGTGCTCTACCACTGAGTCTCAGCCCCATCCCATATATTCCTTTTCTAATTAAAAATACACTTAAACTTTTTTCTTTTTTTAATTTTTCATAACTACATGATTAGAAGTATTTCATTACAGCTTTAACATATTCAGTAACAATTTCCAGAGCAAAGATGCATCTCTTTCAAAAGTGGCTGTAAATTTTTAGGTTCACAGTTGAATTAATACCATTATAAAATTTTGAACTCAGTATAAAATTGAATGAGTTTTCAACATTTAAAAAGGGTCTTCATTTCATTTTAGAATATATTGTTCCTTGCAGAAAGACTCATTGTTTTTGCTATTAACACTGAGATGTTGGCGCATGCATCTCTAACCTGTATGTATCTATTACTAGTCATAATTGGTTGCACTTGGATGCTTGGCGCCTGTCTATGTCTGTAAAGTCATCAGGTAGATTTCAATGATAATGATTATCACCTCTACTAATTAACATGATGTAAATTTCCATGCTTCCTCCTCAAAT